TGTGTGTGAACCTGGTTCCATCCTATGGGGTTCTTCATGAGTAACCACAGGGAAAATTCCACACTGGGAGCAGGAAGCTGGAAAATGAGGATTTTCCTGATTTGGACCCTTTTCCCAGGTAAGAGCCAAGAGCACAGGTCAGGCAATTGCATCTCAGGCAGAGCTGCAGAGAGGCTGGGGCTGAGCCAGAGCAGAAAGCACAGTGTGGTCACAGTAAGAGCCCAGCTGACCCCAACCTTTTCTCATGGCCAGTGGGCAGTTACAGGGGGTGTTCCCTAAGATGTGCTTGTTCTGCTGCCATGAGAACCCTGAGAATAAGGCTTTTTGCTCATTTAATAACACACATGCTTGATGGGGGCTCTTTTTTAATGACTAGAGACATCTCATGTTGGCACAGCAGGAGCACAGACAGAGCCTTTCTAGGGACAGGGTGCACCCAAGAATCCTGGGCTCAGATCCCTCCAGGTTCCCCCAGGCAATGCCAGGACATGTTCACAGCACCCCTCCCTGTCCCCTGCAGGTGTCTGGGCAGTGATGTGCCCCAAGAAGGTGACAGTTGACCAAGGCAGCTCATTGGCAGTGTCCTGCAACTACAACCTGGGCTATGAGCTCTACACCAAGTACTGGTGCCGCCAGAGGTTCCTCTGGTTTTGCTTCACCAACATCATTCAAACCAATGGCTCGGAGGTGATGGTGACACAGGGCAGGGTGTCCATGAGGGACAACCACACGGCACACTCGTTCACAGTGATGCTGAGTGGTGCCGTGCCAGGGGATGCAGGTCGGTACTCCTGTGGGGTGAAGAGGATATTGTGGTTCAATGCGTGGTACACCACAAAGGTGACAGTCTCTGCAGGTAAAATGGTTCCGGGAGCAAAGCTGGTAGTAAACTTCCCCCTTTCCTTTCTCTTCCTCCTCCTCAGTGCCCAGGGCATTGCTTGGAGACCCCATCTCTACCTGCACCTCCATGGCCAAAGTCTCAGGGCAGAGACCCCTGTGCAGGGGGTGGGATAGGGTGTGGAGGGTGTCTCCACTTTGCTCTGACTTTGTTTCCTTTGCAGCAGTTTCAACCACAACTGAGGGAAGTGATGTGGAACCATCAACAACCAACCCTGAGTGCCCTAGGGCCTATGAGGAGCCTCCAGTGCAGTGA